CGGCGTGGAGGGGCCAAGGGCCAAGGGTGGCAGGGATATGGGGGAGGGGTGTAGATGAGGGGAAAGGCTAGCGGGAGGAAGGGGGGTGCATCTGGAGTACCTAGGGCTTTTGTGGTTTGATGGTAAGCCTAAGAGAGAGTGAGAGAGAGAACCTGGTTGAGAATTGGGAAGACACATGCGGCATGAGGGTTTAGGAAGCGAGATATCCGGGGGGTTGTGCATAGTAGTGTGGGGGGTTAAACTGGTGATGGTTGTGATGATGATGATGTTAATGGCTTGAAATACTAAGTCGGAGAGCCATCTTGTCTGTCTGTACTGCAACCTACCGTACAACACAGCACATGGCGGGTATGGATGGCTGTCAGAGGATGGCATTTCACATGAAAGTTTACTACGAATATAACATCTTGTGTCGTTTATTAGTTCAGCCTCTTGATCTTCTATCTAAACCTTGTTTCCACTAACAGCAAGTCTACAAAAACGGTAGATCTCATCAACTACAAAGCACTTTAGTATTGATTCATTAATGCTATGTAGTTATTGTCCAATATCAATCTACATCTACGTCTACCTCTTCGGCGTGCTGGCTCCGAACCTGATGTGGGTGCACACGCATTGGACCCTGCCGTGGCCCCATCTCTACCGTTTCCCCCATGTAACGATTAATAGTTCAAGTTAAGACTTGAGGGACGTCCAGTAAAACAAAGACGGAGAGAAACGCACATGCCAGAAAACACAATTACAAACAAATAAAGTTGCAGGCCTGTGCACCTATCTCATCATTGACATGCCACTGTCTAGGGAATACCACGTTTAAAATATATAGAATTAGGAAGCTCACAAAAGCTGAATATCGCATCTTCCTCTCGGCTTCATTCCCATAAGCCATACCCTGTACCAACAGCAATTGCAGGGGTTATCAAAGCCTCTTGATGCTCTATTCAATGATAGACCCTGCTGTTAAAGTTTACCACATTCAATATGTCTACCTTTACTCCGCGATTCGCTCAACCTTCTAATACCTTGCGCTGATGCTCAATTATCCATACCAACATCCCTCTCACGTACATTTCACCACTGAAATCGCCTCACGGCATTCCCAATTCCACCTTTCGGGGCTTTCTCCGAAGTCAATCTGAAGCAATTAGTTGCGCTCGTCCGCTCCGTCTTCCATCCATTCACCCTCCGTGGATCGGCACCTACCGGACAAGGGCACGCTCTATCCTCGGCAGATTCCTCGTTGGAGGCGAAAACGCGCATCTTTTTGATCATCACTCACTAGGAGATGCACAGCGCAGCAGCTTTAGACGAGTCAGATCGGGCTATGTGTTGTTGCAGCCCTCTATTTCTGATCAGCGCCCTTGGAGGGCTGAGATCTGCTTACAACTACGTCTTTGAAAAAGAATGGCGTAGACCTGTCCGATCGAATAGTGGCAATGTGTAATTACCCCGTATCTGGGTTGAAATGTGTATCCTGGAGTCATAGCAGTGTCTTCTGCAAATCCCCATGGGTCCCCTCATAATGTCGTGAACTCCCCCACGTTTCCTAACCAATGCGTTCAATACCGTTGCCTGACTTTTATCCTTTTCATCATTGATCTGACCTGACCTGACAACGAAGAGAGCTGTTCCATCTGCAACCACCATTGAGACAACAGGCGGTCAATCAATCTGGTCAGCCTACTACGGCCAGTTAATTTCATCGGAACATGTATTACTACTCGATACTCACGAATGCCCTCATTTGCTGCTCCCTTCCCTTCCCGACTTTGCCGCCCTAGGTAGAACTATGTGCTCCGCCGCTCGCTCTTATTTCCCGTTGGAATCGCTCCTCTCCTCTCCTCTCCGCTGAGCTCCGCTCTCCGCATTCATCACAAGCCTAATTTGTTTTAACCGACGCGGAGAGAACGAGAGATCCTCGTCGTTGTGTCCAATCGCCCACAGGCTAATCAAAAAGATCACCTACTATCGTCATATCTATCGCCTATCCGCTCGCCAAAATGTCAGTCTGTGAATAGGTTTGCAACATGGTTTCGTGTAAGAGAAATGCGGCCGAGGAATGGATTGCTCTGCCGCTAGACATGGGCCAACCACCTTGCAAACGCACTTTGACTCCCGTCCAGCGCCTCGAGCCAAGGATCAGGGATAGTTTAAGGAGCCAGGGTCTGTGAGGATGGCGCCGAATGGCTGGAAGATGCTGCCAGTCCGTGGGACGCCGGCTGGAACGTTAAACCTTCCTCTGCAGGGATCAGCTCAACCTTTCAACTTGCGACACCAATCATGGCTTACCGTTTTCAAAGCCCAGCTAGGCCGATGTCGCGCCCACGTTGTCTCGCCTCGAAGGGTAACGAGGAAGCCATCTCGTACAGCCTACGCTTGTCACTCGTGAACCTAGGGCGGGGTGGAAGGGGACTCTTTGACGTACAGAACGCTGCGCGGGGGAGCTTGAGGCGGGCCTGATTCGCTCATAAGCAACCCCCCCAATCTTGCAGTCCGAGGAGCTGGATGTTGCATCTGTTGCGCGAGATTTGAGATGTGATTCCGCGAGGCACAGTCGGAAGCTCGAAGTGCACTCCGCCCCTACGCCCCTACGTACATTCAAACGCCAGATTACTGCTACGTTGTGTTCACTTTGTGTGGCACGCAAAGCAAATGTGAGTTTCTATAGCACCAATAGTAAACTTCCTAGGTTTGGTGGTTAGGTTTGGCTGTGATCTTCCAAGTTGTATGCGTACTTTGCTTGTAGGTATGCCACGTCAACGCAAGCATCACGGCTGCTGGAATAAGGCCCCGTTCACTGTGTAGTTATTTGCCTCATTCACGGCCATTACCGCCAGATGCAATATCCCTCTTTGACTGGCGTGAGAAGCAGGCCACACTGCCTAGTGGAGTTGAATTCGAAATTAGGTCCTGGTCATTCTCGGGATGTTTTTCAAGAGTCGCCGAGCGCATTGCAGAGCCAGCCGAGGTCATGGACCCCCAACTTGAGCCTTGCTCTTTGGTCTTTAGACTGAGAGTCAGTCAGAGCCAGCGTCCGGGTCATAGATGGGAAGCACTTACACGTGTAATGTCCATGGCCGTCACCTCATTATCTCACAGATTCACAGTCAAAAGATGGACAACATAAAATTGAGACAGGCAGCCAATCACCAGGTCCCAAATCATGCCGTTCCTTATCTCGAGCCAACCACCGTTTCCCATTTCGTCTGGTGCACTAAAACGGAACAAGCTCGTGCCGTGCGTGCACACCCAGAACGCCAGAACTCCAGAACGCACACGAACATCACACACAACACGGCAGCCAAAGCGTGCCAAGAGTTGAAGATCGTCTAGCGCCGTGTTTAGTGGACGCCATCGCCCAGATGCACCTGTCTCACCATCCTTCGGGAGTCCCTGCGGGGACCCTGCCCTGTCTATTTACTGACCTAGGTTCTGCAAGTGTTGCAGTGGGCTTGCATGTAAAGACGTCACTGGTTTTTGGGCAATTCGAGCCGGCGACCAGGTAGGTAGGTACTCTAGGTTGGGGGCCAATGGGAGGAAGACAGAAGAGATGCTTCCATTTATTTTGAGCAGTAAAAGACATGTGCTCTGAGGAAGACAGGCAGCAACTCACAGCATACATCTGGCAGTGATCTCACACATCTGTTGCCTATCAATATTGTAGCATTTGTTTTTAGTTAGGCACAATGGCACCGATTGCCCGTAACGAATACGTGCGTAACTGGCAAATACGACCTTAGATGAAGTCGACTCTCCTCGACTCGGTCGCATTTCATGTAGTATTCAATCCATACCAGATCTATCTTCGCCGTATTTCCTAGCGCGGGAGCCACAATTGCTTATCTCTCGGCGTTGATACTACATACATACATACATGCAAAATATGCTAAAACAGCGGGCGAATGGGTCCCGACAACAGACTCAAACCAAGAGCCGGAGGATTATAAATACCAAAGCCAGCAGCTTGTTGTGCGGAGCCTCTGTGGACCTCAGCGAGTTCGGCGTTGCTAAACAAACGTCCGGCCTGCAGTTTGTGGCCTGCCCTGCGTCTCTTCATAACGGTGCTGCAAATGCATTGGATCTTACGGGTTTGCGGAGCGATCCATCCATTCAGCCTATGAGCCAAGCTCCCGATCGCCGAAGACTCGCAACAAAGGATCTCGCGCAAATACAGCGAAGGACGGTCTTTTGCGGTCAAATTCCGGAGTTGCTTTCTAGCCTCAAAACACCAGGCTCCCACCTTTCAATTCCGACTTCTCCCGATGTCCAATTCGACTGCTGTACGGATACGGATACCTACCAAGTTGCAGGCCGCAGAGTAATTCTTTGCATGAGGCAAGGGTCTAGGCTCTAGCCAGACGATGCTGCAGGACTTTGCTAAACGTGAAGCAAGCTAACAGGGCACAATAATTATTGGTGACTCGGTTACCTCACAAAATGAATATACCAGCAAATCTCCCTATAACATTCTGTCTATAGAACCATGTCACCGCCCAAGCAATTGTAAACTTGGCTTTAGGCGGTGAGTTCAGTGTAATTACAGACCAACAGAGCAATGCTCTCTCTTTGGGGTTCAGTCTCAAGAGACATGAGTCTAGAACCATAAGTGCTGTACTGCAACCTGTAGGTAAACACCTCATCTCAAGCTGATCCCACCAATAGAAGAACATGTCATACTTGAATTATCTTGCCCACCAAAAGATCAATATTGACTAAGATCATATCCCTTTGAACCATATATCATACTTCTATCAAAGCTACTCGACCATTTTCTGGTCAATACATTCTGTGAAGCTTCTAACGTTGCATTATTATCCATGGCAAGTGGGTTCCCACCCATAGCGGCTACTAAGCGCCTCAGCGCGTCTATGGCGTGAACTGCCCTGCCATTGACTTTTGTTGGCCTGGGAATGTACTATGTACTCTGTAAACCAAATACAACATCAAGAACAGCTACACCTACCAGCTTTGACGCGAGCGCGTCCTGCAAATAAGCTTTCATGTTCACCACACTACCAGATTTTACGCCGCGAGATGTGAGTCCTCTACCAAAAAGCCAAATCTCCGTGCTAACACGGGTCAGTCGCATTCTTTGTGGTATAGATCTTCTCGCAGCTCATATATCCCACCAGGACCTCTCGACGACTTTAGTGGAGACCCGCATAGCCAGCAACATGTCGCAAACCAGGCACGGCAACGCACCAAAGTCATCGAGCGCTCAGCTCTTGCTCGACTTGCCGCCGATGAGCAGTACATGCAACGGAGACGATTGAACATCCAGAATTATGGTAGCGGCTGGCTGAAACCACCGGGTGTTCCTAAGACATTGCACCAGATGCGCGAGGAGAAGCGGGAACACGAAGAGCACCTGGAGGCTGTCCGTCGGGAACAACTGGCCCAGGAGCTGGCAGAGGCAGAAGCTGAGGGAGTGCCTGGCGAGGGCGAGGGGACTATGGACGATGTGCAACTTGACGGAGCCCAGGATCTAGATGATGAGATTCCAGATGCTGAAGAGGAAGGCTATGCTTTTGGCGATGATGACGACGAAGATGAAGATGAGGAAGAAAGTGATGAGGAAGAAGAAGAGGAAGAGGAAGACGGCGACGAGACAGACGATGAAGCCGTACGAGCTGAGCGCGAGAACGATCTTATAGCCGCCCGTATGAGAATGGGCGACGACGCTTTTCGCGAAGCACTCGTCCGCGGCGAGCCAGACGCCGACGATATGTACGGAGACACCGAAGATGCTGAAGAGGAGGAAGACAACGGCGAACTTCTCGGCGAGGATGATTTCGTCCAGGATGACGATGGTCTCGGCATGGACATGGACGCAGATCTGGATGAGGACATTCCCGAGGCTATGAGCGGCGGCTACGAGCACACCGACTCTGAAGCCGGAATCTCCAGCAGCGAACACCAGTCCTCCGATGACGACGAGGATGATGAAGACGACATCGATGTCAGCTTTGCACCTCGCTCTACAACCCTTCCTCCTCCAATGTCACCGACCTTCCCCGGCCGTTCCAGCATGGCACATCCCCGCGCCAGCATGGACCTGAGTAACCTGCTCTCGCAGGACGGTAGCAGCTTCATGCACAGCAGTCCCGTGGGCCGTCGTGCCCGGCACGGCTAAGGACCTTTACGACTAATGCGACACGAACCACGACAGAATAGACAGATGGTTCAGGCAGCAGTGTTATTATATATATACCCATTCATTGTTCATTATCAAGAAAGAATTGAAAAATTTGAGCGCTCCCTGCGTTCGCAGCTTGCTAGCCTCAGGCTTGCCCAGAAGTGTGAAATTACAACCTTTGTAGAGGGCAACTTTTGATCGTTGCGTGATGCGATGCTTGTCCCTGTGTCTGCCCAAAATTTCAGAGTATCATGCAGTATTGGAATGTTTCAAAAACGCCCAGCCAAACGCCGTCCGAGGATGCACTTCATATAGCCTTTTCCCCTTCTCTTGCTGTAGTCAAGTAATGACCCTCCATAGCTACAGCACGCACAGTAGTCTTGATTTGATCATTCCATGTCGTTGTAAACGAAGTTGACGTCTCCGTTTGATCAGAATAGCCAGACGTACATAAAGAGCATGATGACGGCAGCAAAGAAGATAAGCCAGACCTTCCATCCCACGCCAGTGCGCTGGGCCATAACAAGCATGCGGTTCATAGTGCCCCGAAGGCGCAGACGAGTCGAGTCGAAAGTATCGTTCATCTTTTCCGCCAGCGCCGAGGAATCGCGGATCTCGTCTCCGATAGCAACAGTCATCTACAACCCCAACTGTCAGCTTCCCACTAATAGATAACCGCTCGGGGGGTAAGGGAGGGAAACTCACACTCTTCAGCACCTTGACCTTGCCCAGAATACCCTCCACCTGCGCATCGTTCTGGCTCTCTAGCTCATTGAGCACCGCGTCGCTGTACTGGCCTCTCTTGTTCGGCGTCGCAGAGCGAAACGGTGTAGGCCTGGAAGCGTCGTAACCGCCCTGTCCCAGGGGAGAAGGTGAAGGGGCACCGTATCCGCCGCCGCCGTAGCCGTATCCTCGGTTCGGGCTCGCACTGACGGGTCGTCGCGAGGCTGCGTCGCCGTTGTAGCCCTCGAAAAGAGCGCTGCGTGAGTCGCGCTGGTGAAGCGATGAAGCGCCGAATCTAGTGATGCGCAGGTCAGCTTTGTTTGTCCATCGATTTATGGAGAGTTAGATCTGGTGATGTCGGGTTCGCCACATCATGCTTAGGGGTCATCGTACCGTTGCGCCATGGCTATTTAGTCGAGACCAGATAGCAAAGGAGACAAAGCGAAAAGACGATTTGCGTGTTCAGGGGGATGAAGATTTAATACGAAAAAATAAATAATCGAGGGGCTCGCGAATCTTGGATTCTGCCCCCTACGATAGATAACCCTGGTTGTTTTTCTTAGGTGTTCTCTAGCTGATGACAGCGGTCTGGCTCATGGCCTCATTGGGGGAGCCCCAGCGATACGTACCGAGGGGCCGTCCAATCCCGTGTCATGTTCCTTTTTTGCTTCAAGGTTCCATGGCTTTGAGTTTTTGGTCTTGAGGACAAAGTGGTTATTGGCATGGCTTCTTATCGAAGAAAATACTGAATTACGTATGAGGCGACGAATCTGTGGCTACCTATGATATCGAGCAATTGACAAAAGTGAGTCAAACATGGGCACATGAGCCCCAAGCAGGCAGAGCTCCCAAGGCTTCAGCGCAGCTACATTCACTGCACAGAGCTCAAGTAACAGATATCACAAACTTTACGTCTTGAACTGAGTTTTGACTGAATTAATGTCATTTCATATTGCTTTTCGTGCACGTGACTGCATGTACAGTATATATGCCAAGCAGATGAATGCTAAAGGTGGCTGATGCTATCCACGACTCGATGCCGCCTAGGCTCCCCCACGGGGACCAGGTAAACAGGTATAATCATCCACGCCCCATCCATTTTGTTTTGTTGCTCAGTCCCAAAATCATGATATCGTACTCCTCCGCCTCGATAGATCTATACGTCAGAGAAAGGTCGTGACGTGAATCTACTCGGACATCTTGGTGTCCTCGGCGGGCTGGAAGTCCTCATCGTCTTCCTCGTCCTCGTCGTCGGCAGGGTGTTGCTCGGCAGCCTTGGCGAAGTCGATTTGAGCACCTCGGGTGCGGCCTCCCTGAACAATGTTGTTGAGGTCGATCTCCTCCAGGCCGTCCTCATCTACACGCGTTGGTTAGCTTGATTCACGGTCTAAGTGCTTGCTGTAGGTGAGTGCAATTACCAGCCTCGGCAACCTGATAAAAAAACAATGTTAGCATGCTGTCAAAAAGTAGAGAGCGGGGTGTGGGAATCATACCTCCTCATCCTCATCGTCGCTATCATCATCATCGTCCTCGTCCATAGCAGAGTCCTCGGTGATGTGCTCGGCAGGAGCCTTGCCCTTTCCCTTCTCCTCAGCGAAGGAGTGGTCCTGGTCCATGGCAGAGTCCTGAGGAATGGTAGCGCTGTTGTCAGACATTTTTGCGGTGGATGTGATTGTTGGAAGTGGTGAGAAAAGTGAAAGTGAAAGCGTGGTGTTGTTTTGGTAGCGGTGAATCGAAGTGGAATGGATGGGTTGTGAAGATTGAGATGCGGCGCGCAACTTGCGGACGAGCTCTGAGTGGATTGGCGCTTCCATGCGATCTTACCTTACCTAGCAACGGCTAGTCCCGATATAGACTAGCTCTGTTTGCACATCCTCAGTGCCTGAAGCCTTAAACAACTGAGAACCAACCAAGCCGGATCTACGCAGTGTAAATTCATAAACAGACAGTATCTCTTTAACCGGCACAAGACTATAAGATATTATATACCCCGCTTTTTTATAGGTACCTACGGGGTACGTAAAGTTCCTATTAAATAGCTTTTTCTTTTAATATCACTAAAATTATTAAAATCCTTATATAAATTAATTATAATAAGTCTTAATTAAAATAATAAGCTTTTAAAAGATATATAATTTTATAAATAATTATAGCTTTAATAGCCTACCTTTTTAAATAGCTATTAATAACCTTATTTATATACCTAACTTTTTACCTAAAGAAGGCTATAATAATAATTTTTAATCTTTTAAAATAAAAGATTATAATTTTTAAATTAATTTTCTACCTTACTAATTATTTAAATTATTCTAGCTTTTTATATCTATTTCCTTTACATAGTTATAAATTAAATATATTAATAACTAGGCTTTTTTCTATATTAAAAATAGTATTATTAATAACTAAAATATCCCTATTTTTAATTATTTATATTTATAAACTTAAAAAGGTATTTTTACTATAATAGCTTATATATAACTTAATATTTTTATTTACCTAGGAATTTATAAAGAAATATCCTTTAAAGACTATTAAAAGGCCCCTAGCCTAGAAAATTAATACCTTTTTTACCTATTTATAAAGTTTATATTATTATAAAAATTTAAACTAATTATATAATATTTCCGTACTTTTAATCATATTAATCTTAATATAAATAATAAAAAAGATCTTTTAAAGACTTTCTAAGTAATTAAAAAGTAATCTAATTATATATAAAAGGTATCTATTAAGCTCTATTTTCTAAGGACTAATCTAACTATAAATAAGTATATAATCCCTTTTATAAATAAATTAAAATAAATAATACTTATTAAGGAAAAGCCTATATTAATAGGCTTTAAAGTCTAGGTTATTATATAATAAGGCTACTTTTTATAATAACTTTAATATATAAAGGTATTATTAATTATAACTATAATAATTAAATTAGAGATATTAAAGCTATATAGTAAGAAAAAAAAAGCTATAAATTAAAACCCTTTTTAATAATATATAAAATATTATAGTTTACTTATTATAAAGGTTAATAATAATAATATATTATATCTTTATAAATAATTTCTTTTCCTTATTATAATTTTTTTACTTTCTTTAATAATTTAATTATAAGGCTATAAATATAGTATACCTTAATTATAGTATTATTATTATAATAAAATAAATTAAAAAGACCGGGAAGTTTCTTAATAACTAGCCTTTAATATATAATAAGGTATATTTAATCTTAATAATAAATAAATAGGTATAGATAGCTTTATTTATATTTCCCTTATTAATTTATTTTTTTTCTTTCCTTTTAGGTCTTTTAAGTTACTTAAAAGGATAGCTTTATAGTTCTTTTCTTTATAACTATATATAGTAAAGCCCTTTTTAATTATATATTAAAAGAGAGGAAATTACCTATTAAAAAAGGTATAAAGGTAAAGATATAATACCTAAAAGAGGTTTTTAATAAAAATTAGGCTAAAATAATCTCTATTCTTTTTATTACTATTTAATATAATAATAAAATAAATTATATAGATTATAGTAATTAAATAAGATTCTATACTTTATATTAATATTATTTTTAATATAGCCCTTAATAGGTATTACTTTAGTCTTTCTTCTTTAATATTATATTTATAAATAGCTTTATTTTATAAAAAAAGACCTAATAGCCTTATTAAAAGCCTTATAATATATTTTAAGACTAAAAAGAAGCTATTTATAATATTATTTTTAATAAATATAGTATTAATAATAATATAAAAAAGAGATATTATATAAAAAAAGAAGAAAATAGTAAAGATCTTAAAGTATAGTAAATTTATCTATAAAGAGATATTAATTATATTAATAAAGATAAAAACTTTACCTACCTAGTTTATAAAGGCTATAAATAAGGGTAGTTATAACCCTTTAAAAAAAGAATTAAAAAAGAAGGTTATTTATAGTTAATATTAAGAAATTAATAATAATTATAAACCTAATATAGCTATAAAGAATATAATATAGCTATTTATAATATAGTAAGCTATTAGTATTTTTATTATATATTAAATTAGGTATATAAAGATATACCTTAAGTTATATTAATTTTAATTAGCTTTAGACCCCTATCGTAACCTCATTATAGTCTTATGCCGGTCAAAGAGATAATATGGTACTAATTTGTCTCTTATTAACTGAAAGCATTTGCTTCTGGTTTGCCTAAGTTTGTGTTCCCAAACCACATACTCGTACTGTAGCCTTACCTAGTAGGGAGTTAGCACCGCCGCTATCGGCAAGTACTATCGACATCCACACGTTGAGCAAGAGCAAGAGTATGGCCATCTACCTGCAGAAACCATTCAGGAGAAGAAGCGCTATCTCCAGGTACCTCTACGCTCATAGGTAAGGTACTCAGAAGTCACTCCGTCAGTGTCTCGGTATTTTAAAGGTCTGTTTGCGAAATGTTGGGAGCTTAAAGCCAAAAGATGTGTTTCTGTTCTTGATGCTTTCTTGATTTATCTTCAGTTATGATGATATAGCTGTTTTGGATAAACCTCTAGACCGGTTTGCCCGCCTTGCTGTAACACCTGCGCCATAGCTACGGTAGACATGCTGTAAGTCAGCGGCAGACCTGAGATGTGGAGTGCAACAGGAAGTCTGTTAGTAACTATGAGAGACCCTAGTGTCATTCGAAGAGCACGTTGATATCGCCAATTCAAACAAGCAGCCGGTTGTGGCTATCGAAAGCTAAGAATCTGGCGCTGTCTATGTCGTTGATGGCTTCATGCATCATTTCCGAGAACTGGGGCTGCCGCGCATGAATGTAAGCTGCATCGATAGGAGTTTTGTTGAGATTAGCAAATTTTACACTGCACACTCCTGTTTTAGCAACCACTAGGGTGCAGTTACTCTAAACAACAAGGCGATTGCAAACTATTGTCCGTCAGCTTCACTAGTTGACAAATTCAGTTGCAGGACGACTAATATAGTAGAAGGGTGGCAATAAGGATGCAGTAGCCCAAGAGTGCCGCTACTTTGACCATAACTGCTCTACGGAGTCGGTCAAATTGTTGTCAAGCCCATATATGTCTTTATAGAAAGATATACGAGAGCCCTAAGCTTCCTACAATGCTTGACCTCCGGAAACAGAGCTACCTGACTACTATTGTGAATGTATTAGATAGGGTTATAAAACAGGCACTGCAACTACGAAAGATAGACCGACAAAGGCACCCAAATCACACTTCTTGTCTTCGTCCATTCCGCTGGCCCCTTTTGGCCGATATTCTCCAACAGCAATCAGACTGAAGAGGCCAGGGTGAGACTTCATCAATACCTCGCAAGTGCTCTAGCCTTGGTCCACCTGTCAACCATCAACATGATCTTGCCAGGCCAGGACAACAAAGGCATGTGTTAGGTTACCAGGAAC